TACATTCCGATTCCAGATCCGATGGTGGAACCACAACTTCTTCATCTGACATTTATCAACTCATAGAGTTCATCCTGGGTCATATCTTCTAAACGCAAAGGTAACTGATCCGTTTTGTTTTGATTCATTGTTCTATGAAAACAAAAAAACAACGAATAACACATAAACATACAGCATAACGAGTTAAATTTTAAACATCCATATTAAAGGGGCCTCAGTCCAGCTATTGCAAATATAAGCTGCATGTAACTACTCCTACATATTATATATCTAACGTACTTACCAATAATTGCTGTTGTATTCATAAAATTCCAAAAGTACACAAAAAAACTATTATATAACACAGAACAAAATATAATCTCTACACTCACATCACTCATCTGCGAATAATGACATAAAACTGGATGATAAGTCCAGGGCGGCACTATTGATACTTCTTTTAAGGGTTATGTTAGTAAATTATGTTGTGGGACAGAATATAAACCTACATGCTCTAAAGCTATACAAGCAATTTTGCCCGGTATAAATTGTAGCCCAGTATGCCACGGAAAGCAAAAGTTGGTGAGTTAATTTGTAAACCGATATGCCTGAAAGAGTTAAATAAAATAAATAAATAAATAAATGCTGTGATACTTAAGAATATGCAAATGTCATATTAGCGAAGCTATTTGACTCAGTTCATTATATAACTTAATATTCTTCGAGAGTCGTATACGAATTTATTATGAAATATTGTTGTTTGTCTATTTACATAAAATATTACACCAAGAAATGATATAAAATCTTTGAATTTAGTCCATCTGACTGATTTCACCCTTTTTGTTTGTTAACTCGCCTTTTTTTTGTTTTCTGTGTCAATCCACAGTTTTCCTTTTTTTAAATTATTATCGACGTCAGCATTCCGAAATCCTATATGAAGATGGAAGTATTAAATATCAGTCTCATTTCATATTATCTGTTATACACCTAATGTTGCTATATACTTCCAATGTCTTCCATACATTAAAGCATGTACTTTTTTGCACAAGACCACAACAAAAGATTTCCTCAAATATTAGCTGATTGGAAGCACTCAAAGAGCTTCTGGAAAACTGTTTTTCAAGTAAGGGAATTATTAGTTTAGGAGTCCCTCAAGGCTCTGTGTTAGGACCTTTTTTTTTTTAATTTGCACAGCGGATATAGTCTCAGGTACACATTTTTTTCATCCTCAAGTGTGTGCAGATGATGCTCCACTTCGTTACTGTATCGAAATTAGAAACCCTCAATGAGCTTCCGACTTTATAAATCAAAATCGAAAAGTTATCCTACACTTTTCAATCATGGTTTAAAACTTAATGCTAATAGAGCGTTGCAACTCTAACATTTGTCATACATAGACAGCACTATATGTATGCTCCCTGGAGTGGATTGGAATCTTTGATGTGAAGTTTTGAATCATCTCCAGATGATGCCAACTTGGTTGATGAAACGTGCGTCAGGTGCAATATATAGTGTTTTGGTGTTTCGTGGAAAACTACGTCAGTGTGATATGTGTATATGCGTATGCAGCAGATATAATTAAAATTTCTGCGAGCCGTATTATAATAATAATAATAACAATAATAAAACGTCTTTATTTCTGCAAAGATGTCAAAGTTTGCACAAGAATATACAATATTCAGTTGGTAAAGCAGGTGGCGAAGTTTAGCTAGATCAGCTACTCTTACACTTAACCACTGCGAAAATGGACTTAACTACTAAACTTAACCTAAACCTAACCTAAAAATAGTTCAACTAAGACTAACAAAATAGAGAAAATAGACAAACTACACACATATTACGGCATAAAAACATAGTTACCATTGATGAATGGGAGAAACGAAGAGTTGACTATAATAGAAATATACAATATATTGTGTGTAATATACTACAAGCTATTAATTTTATTTAATATTTCCAATTTTACTAATATTCCTATTCCAGTCTGCCATGAACAACTATACCGTTTCGACTTACATGTAAACTGAAAATAATATTAATGCCACGGCGTGTCAGTTTAAGATTTTTAAGTATATTGACAAATATCAAGATCTAAAGTGATCGTTTTTTTATCTGGGATGAAGTGGTAACACTAGTAGCGAAAGCCCCTTCTAACTGGAAAAAACATATAAAATCTGCAACACACGAAATAAAAAAAAATTGTTTTTCTATGCAACATTTTTATGTGTTATGTATGTAATGTTCCATTACGTATATTGAAGAATGAACAGTTTAGAGCAATTTAGAAAAAAAATTATTACCGAACTGGGATTTCCCGCCAGGAAGAACAGTTGATCGTAAACTGAACCATATAAAAAGCTTAATAAAAAAACAAACTGAAAAATGTAAATAGGCATTCCCCATAAAAAATCCCACACAACAGTTTCGATAAATTGGCAACACTGACTGCAAAGTCGTATTCTTTTGACCGGAGGCGGTTTCTTTCGAAACTGATTACGGAATCAAAACGAATATTGTTCGCAGGATCGCATTCACTGAGGTTGAAAATCAATTTTCTGTTTATTCTCACCACAATATATTTCGTGATCATGATTTGTAATAATTTTTTTCCCTAGTGGAACTTGAAATTTTTATTGCTGTAATATTCTGAATTACAACCTAAACAATTTCTTTGACAAATTATATTAAACGTCAGTTCGACGAAGTATCTAACTATTAGAAATAATAAGAGGTCGATAGCGCAATGGGCCAGAGCGTTGTGATAAGTGTAGTTGATTTACTGCCTATCGATTCCCGGGTTCAAATCCTGGTTTCGATTCTGACAAAATCGAAAGGATTAGTTGTATGTGCTCGCATGTTTTTCAACTGTGTAACAACCTTTCGTGTAGCTCCGGTTTTGGTTTGAGAGTTGTCTAATTTATGTGGTGTGTTTAAACTTAAAATGTGTTCCAACGCTAACATTTTAAAGACACTTGACATTCATCATTATAGTACTGTAACATGAAATTATTGGAATTACTTTTAAAAGACAAAAACACAAAGAGTGGTACATTTGAAGAACATTTGGAGGTAATTTCACAATAAAATTTGTTATTTTTCACACTTGTTGTGACTTACTTATACATACTTATGCAACTGCTCTTTCGTGAAACTTAAAAGTGAATATGTTTCTGATAATCCTAGCAAATATGATTTTGTAATCACGATTTAAGCTTGTTACGAAAGAAAACGCTTCGGTTGTTAAGGAAGCTATTTAAAATTGTGTCAAAATTTAATCATCGTGTCAAAACTATGTTGGCTTGAAAGAAAATAGGATATAAAATGGCAAAACATTTTCTCCTTACTTTATATTACGTGTAAGGTTTAGATTTTCATGGTCTGGTAATTGCAAAATCACTTGGCTTGAATAATATGCTGGGAAATATGCAAATTAAAATTTATATCACCATTAACCCTGTTAATGCAAACTATTTTAATAGCGAATAATACTTGCAGCTCATTGCATAAGGAGCAGTTCATACAACTTTATTAGGGCTATTCAACTAATGGAAAACTGCACAACCGTGTACTCTAAATAAATTTTATTCATATTTTATGCATTTACATTATTATGCATATTATTTTTTTTACATAGGTGGAATTAGTAATTATTCTGTAGGAGCAGATTTTTTAAATAAACTGGTCATTAGCCAGAAGGTATGATGCAAAATTACATTTACACAAAGTCACTTTCACTAATAAAATTACCATAATAAATCTGGAAAGATAACTGAAATTAAAGATTTCTCCAAGTCATATACTTTTTAGCAGTAGGTTACATTTTACGGGCACAAGACGTTACTTACACCCAAGTACTTAACGTCTTAAGTAGATCATATGATTTTTATTGAACTAAAATTACTATAAGAATGTGGGCAGGGTATTACTTTGACTTATGGAACATGAAGAAATAGTATACACCATAAACAAATTATAACGTCATGCTGTATTTATAATTTTATAATATAAAAAGTCTAGTAATATAACAATATTTAATTCGAAAATTATGCACGATAAAGTATAACGCTTGACTGTATTTCTCGCATTATATTATTAGGTAAGTTATAGTTTTCTGGTTTTTCAATCTAGCTAAGATTTGAAAGGAAATATACTCTCATTCTTACCAGTAAGGAGGAGTGAAAGGACGGAAGAATTGACTTCCCCCCAGACTCCTTGATGTGCTACATGGACGGTTCTCGTGTAGCCGAGAGACTATCCTCCTGAGTGGAAATATATCTGGAAGGCAGAGGAGTGCAGAAGCACTTTGCTCTAGGATCATACACCACGATCTTCCAGGCATAGGTTTACACCATCTTAGCGGTGGCAGGTAAGGAATGGCATAAACAAGCAAGACTAGTGTGGTTCCCGAGGCAACACGGGGTTCCACATAACGAGAAGGCCGATGAATTGGCTGGAGTTGAAGCCAAGGAGCCCCCTCGGATACCTATACTGGGCATCACAAGAAGACAGGCCTCGAGGGCCTTCAATAAGTGGACCCACACGACACTGAGGCCATTGGATGATTAACAGGACCTGTATGCAACCTTGAGATTTTATTACAAAGCCCAAAAAATCGAGATCGGCCTGTGTAGTGGCGTATCTATTCGTTATAAGTTTTTATTATCCTATCACCATGGAATAATATTATTTATTAATAATCTGACACAAACAAATTATTATTTAAAAAGTTTGCATTAAAATCAATAAATTTACCTTTTAATATATGTACATATATTAAAAGGTACTCATTAAACATTTAACCATTTTATTTATTCTGAATACAATAACCACCACAAACTGGTAACCTCGACAAGAAAAAAATCCAAGGAGAGAAGACCCCGACAAGAAAATAACTCGACAAGAAAAGAAACTCAAGAAGAGAAGACCCCCACAAGAAAATAACAAGAAAATTCCAAGATTCAAAATTTACAAATATATTTTTTTAAGTATTCTACCAAAATTTTAATTAGAGCCATAATCCTTGCTCCTCGACCGGGGGTCGAAGCCGGGACTTCAGTATGAGAGGCAAGTGCCCTCACTACTGGACCACGAAGCTACACTTATCACAGTTATCTTGGGAGATTCTTTTTAGGACATTAACTTACAATCAAATAAACAATTATCCCGAAAAAACGTTTTAAAAAATATGAACTGTTAATAAATTACAGCCTTTCAAACAACTAAATTATGTAATATTTATATTATTTGTTGTGCTTGATAACTCAATTAATATTTGATATTTTCGAAATCTTTTTCCTGAAAATGTTTACATTTTTTATAATAAATAATTTTACCAAAATTGAAATATCTTGAAAAATAACTGAATGAGCATGAAGTCACATTTTTGAGAAATCCGAAATTTTAAAATTAAAAATTATGAAAAAACCAGAGTTTGAAAAAAGCTGTATTATAGTGATAACTAACATTTTATTTAGGTAAGTTGCACATTTTCCGAGACATAACGGATTAAAAACTGGTATGGCCAACGTGTTCTTAAAAATTCGGACATTTTTTTACTTAGCAAATCCCAAGTTGACCACTAGTCAACCTAAGTTAATCAAATTTCAATGAGGTGTGTTTAGTCTACTTTTATTTATAGAATTTTATAATAAATTTATACTTAGGATAAAAATAAACTTCTTTTTATTTTTTTTTTGCGTAAACGCAATCTGGAATGTCCTCCCATAGCCTCTGATATCACACTGAATTACCTATAGACACTCCTCAGATCCCGCAGGGTTAATGACTGTAGATTTTGAAATCGTGTGCCCTAAATAGACAAAGGACAATTATTTTCCTGTCACTAAAAATAGTAATCACAAATGTACAGGGTAAGGAACATGAAATATTCCTCTCCCAATTTTATTCTAAAAATATTTTATAGTTGTATAAGAGGGCATCTTATGATGGAATTTGGTAAATGTGTTTTAAATTTGAGCTCAAATATAAAATTTAACTAGAAATGCACAGGTTAATCAATCATGTTTTTCGTAAATGGCACACCTATAAATTTTCTGATAAATTGACAGCTCATTGAGGCGATTCCAAAAATATGTAACTGTAATACACGCTTCAAAAATAAGGCAGATATCTTCTTATAGAAGAATGATCATATTTTATAATAGTTCAAGCGAGATTTCTGTCATTTAGTTTCTCAAATAACAATTTATGGAGAATAATAAAATTACAAACAAAATGAAAATAAAATTAAATAAAAATATAAAGGAAATATATAATAATAATAAAATTTTATCATTCTTTAGTGGTACTTTCTTTATTTATGAAGCAAATAAATTGCAGCTATATATTTTTGAAATCGCTTCAACGAACTCAAATTATCGAGAAATGCAGTGTGAAATTTAATGAAAATATATATTATTGATCAACCTGTATATTTTTGCTTAAATTTTAAATTTGGGCTCAGATTTAAAATCTACGAAGAAATTCCATAAAAACCACTAAAAAATATTTTTATGATTAACGAAAGAACATTTTATGTGACACTCTGTACATACATTACAAAATAGAATAAATTGTGTTTATGATGACGTTGTTTTTTTTATTGAATACTGCTGTATTAAGTACTCCTAGTCTGAATGGCATAAATTAATTCACTTGGCATTTTTGATATTGTATTGTTAATGTTTTTATTAAAATACTCGGTGGTAAACGAAGCCATAAATCATAATGAATATACGTAGAGTCGACCGCGCGACTATACTGTAGTATAGTATACCAAAATCGGAAACAGAGCCAAGCAATTAAAAATAATTAGTTGAAGTAATTTAAAAAAAAGTTTTTGGTGCTGAATGTAATTATATTCGATGTCACTGTGTTTTAAGTTTTTCAGTTTTCATATTTTGAAATTTTGAAAAATAGTAGAAAAAAAATCTCTTTTTTCAAAAAATCCCACACAGTGACACAGATGGAACTTTTATCTAGATGTCCTCCAAATTACATATTCACATCTTCTCTAATAACGTCGCAGTTATCCGGCTACAAATTCATGTTTTTCAAGGTCGCAGAGGAAACTTTTAATTCTTTACTCTTAAATATCTGTTGTGGCCGGCACATAACTTTCTTATACCAGTATATATCTTCCTGATTAAAAAAAATCATTCTATTTAATTCTTCACTTACCTCATTTAAATTTTAATTGCGTAGGTATCTTAAAATGTTTCATTAAAATTTTTAAATAATTAATTATTAGCGTCGTTCGATACTGTCAGTTCATATCATATATTTTATATTTTAATAATTTCTTCTTATTGACATAGACATTATTATAACTAAATTAGACATTTCAAATGTCAAACTGACAAATTTATGGTAACTCCATTTTATGAGGTCAAATGTGTAAAAAATTTCAGTTTACATCAGCTTTATTTAAGTACTTGGAAAATATATTTTATTGGTTTTATTTAGTAGACATGATTGATAAACTTTCATCAGGAATATATTTTTTTGTAGACAAATACAAAAAAATGTCTTTGGCTTTTAGAACACGTGTACCAAATTAGAAGCTTTGTTTCAAAAAATGTGGCTGCTACTGCGATACTACAGACATGCAGACAGATTGTTTTTCCATAAAGTTATGTCTTTTCATTACAATTCGTCGAGATTCGTACAGAAATGCAAAAACATTTTAATATTTTTTCCCGAAATTGTACTTCTTCCCTTCTATCATTATTCATTATGTCTCTTCTGATGGTACCACATTCACCAAATTTAATGTGTCACCTAAAATGTTGAAAATCTTAATTGCAAAATTTCTCGTTAATATTTTTTGTTATCGTGGCAGCACGCTCGCACGCACACACACGCACCCACGCACACACGCACATACATACACATAAGGAAGTAGAAAGTGATATTCAAACTTTTCAAACAATACTAGAAAATTTAATTTTATTAGTTACATATATTTATTTTCAAAATGTGTCAAAAGATAATGACAAATACTAATCATGTTAATCAAGAACAATTTGTTAATACGATTAAACTAACACTTTTTTGGATCTCAAGACCTGAAATCTGGCCTAGTCAAGTAGAGGCTCAATTTAGTAAAGCAAAAATAATTAATGACATAAAAAAATATGATCATATTCTAGCTCACTTATCTTTATAAATTATTTCGGTTGTTTACGATGTTATTAGAAATCAACCTGAAATTAATTTATACAATAATCCTAAAGATAAAGTATTATAATACATAGATTAACGTCTAGCGAAAAAAAGAAAGCTTGGAGGATTTGTTGTCAGAATCAAAAATGGATGATCGCAAGCCATCTGATTTTTATCGTCCAATGCTACCCAAGCAGCACATTTAGTAGTCTCTACGTAGTAGCTACCATCAGTAGAACTTCAAAGGTTTCCGCAACTAACGACCGTTACGTAATGGGAACGGGTCCGTCTACCAAGCATTCACCAAAATGGGGAATAGTTATTACATAGCAATTACTGTGCCAGAACCTTCCCTGTTACGTGTTGACAACTAGTTTATTACGTAAACGGGACGTAACCAAGTAGTTGAAATGACTAACTTTTGTAACAGCTCTTTTGTGGTACGAGAGAAAACCATATTTTGCTCTTTCTCTCATACGGATAGCAAAATGTAATGTATTGCAATCGGACTTATTGAATCGATTGAATGAAATATGTGTAGTTAATAAACCATGATGTTTTGCATTCACTCTGTGTGGAAATTAAAACGCCTACTTGTTTTCTGTAAAATGTTTAGGTGATACTTCGATAAAAAAGACGCGCTCTCTAGAAAATTTTTTCGAAAAAAAAAATTGTTCAAAAATTATGTGTACACTCGAAAATAAAAAAATTTTATGAAAAACATTTTTTTTTGTTTATGTGTTATGAAGTAATAATAATCTATTTATAAAAGATATTTGCAAATGACCACATTTAATAAAAAAATGGTTTTCAGAATTATATTTTTATCTGTCAATATGGCGTCATCATTCAATAATAGTTTACCAAAAAGTAGCAAATACGACGAATGACGCCATTTTCTTGGTAGCTTTAAACTGTCTTCTATTACGCTACTACGAAAAGGTTACTGCAAAGTTCCCACGTACACTACGACCCTCACTTTTAAGTTAGTTGGTAGAGCTGGCTGATTCGATAAATATACATAAAAATTGATTTACCTGGTCTCGCAGAGCGACCCTTTGTCGACCTTCAGTTATGCATAGTTCTCTAATATAGGCGCGCGGTGCAATATATAAATTCACAAAATGTATTTATATAATGTATTAGTTAATACATTTTAGCCTGTGCTAAAATTGTTTATGTGGTTATATAAAATGAATGGAGTATAGACAAACATAATTTTATTGTTTGGGATTAGCAACATGTTAATGATTGAGTAAATATCAACAGGTAACAGGTGAGAGTGTTATTAGCGAAAATCATAGAAAGGATTAACTCGAGGATTTAACTTGAATACCAACAAAATTCAATATGGCGAAAATCTGAATGGCCCAAAGTTGACATCATTATCCATATTTTCTATCATATGATCATGATCAATCACGTATTCGTAAATTTTGTAACTTCCCTAAGTTATTCATTTGTCTGAATTTTGCGAATTTGTTCAATGGGTGAAATTTTAATTAACAACAATTAATGGTAAATCATAAACAATCACAGTTAATTACATTCTTTACTTCAACATTTGTTGTTTCTTTACTGTAATATCCGATTTTCCTGAAAATTTTCTTAACCTGCTTATTTATCTATTTCAACGAATAAGGGTCGTTTCCTCATCAATCAAATAATTTGTTAAATTGTTAACTTCACTTAACTGTAACATAACTTTTCTACAAAAGGTCGATGAATGCCGGAAAATCTTTTTTGTTGTTTTATTGCTTTTCGGCGCTATGTTCAAGTAGTTCCGAATAAGAAAGTGTTGATTTAATGTTGTTAATAAGTTACACAACTTTAAAGCTCCAGAAAATGTCCCGACAGTGTTACAGGAACTTTAATTAGATCACTTTCAGTTATCATTATTTTGAAGTAATTCTTTGTTAACGCTGTGCAGT